TCATCCCAATCGGATTATTAAATCGGAAAATATTGACGATTGAAGGGGGGCCGTTTTGCCCCATCCTCCCCTACTTTTTCTGCTGATCATAAGTAATGTTTTTTTGTGTAATTTTTATATTTAACGATTCGTTAATAGTGGTAGATTGTAATTATTCAAGGTAATGGTAGTGTTTTCAGGACGAACAAACGACTAATGCCACTACCTAATGCCACTGCGCCTCTCACTTGCCCCAGAAATGCAGAAATAAAAAATTTGTTTTTTCACCCGCAGCCAAAGTGCCATATTTAGGCTTTTTTCGGGGGGAAAGTCGACTTTCGCCAAAATCGAATTTTTCCGCCGGGTGAACGCTGATTCTGTATTTTCTGGCCCGCCTAATGCCACTGAGACCCTCACTTGGCCCAAAAACGCAGAAATAAAAAAAAATTTTTTTCACCCCCAGAAAAGTGTCGTATTTAGGCTTTTTTCGGGGGGAAAGTCGACTTTCGCCAAAATCGAATTTTTCCGCCGGGTGAACGCTGATTCTGTATTTTCTGGCCCGCCTAATGCCACTGAGACCCTCACTTACCCCAGAAATGCAAAAATAAAAATATTTTTTTACACGAGGAACTGTACATAGTCCCGTCAGTCTTTTTCATAAGTTGCTCTGTATTCATAAAAGGGGTTATGAAGCAATAAGAAATTATTTGAACACATATCCATAAAAATTAATATTATTTTTTTAGAAGAAGTGCAATTGAGCCTTTAAAATTTTGTAATTCAAGGCTTAGAGCAAACTTTGGCGCCAAGCATTGTTCAAGCCTTATGGACTAAGCCTAAAACGAGCTTATCATTTTGGGGCTGAAGGAGGGCTGATCCAAGTTTTCGCAGAATATTTCCGAATCTAAGAGAGATAGCGAAATTTTCGTAATTACATTTGTTGTAGCTCTCAATCGGCTCTACAAAAAAGGTTATAACAAAAATTTTGCCATTTCCCTTAGATTGCGAGATATTCATTGAAAACTGGTCAGTAATTAAAATTGACTTGTACCGTTTTGCCACTTCGCTACTGCAATGTACTTGAATCGAGTATATTTTATACTCAATTCAACTACATTTTTTTCTCGTGTACCTTTATAGTCAACTGCCCATGACATTTCTATTTTGTTTTCCCACAGTGATCATCAAACAATTTCGTTTTCTGTTTTCCCCTAAAATCCCTCATTAGCGAGATGCTTGGGTAATTATTCAGGATCATCCATCTTTCACTCCATCGTTCTCTCCTGACCGAGTTTCCCTAGAGGAGATGATGGTCACTGGAGAAAGAGGAGTGAAGAGGGGGAGAGGTCACTGTCCCTTCATCAGCCCTCGCATTTTTTTCGCAAGTTTCTCGCTTAGTCAATTGATGAATTGAGGACAATTGCCGTTAAACTTGTTTTCGTTAATTCATGGGGACAAAAGAATTGCCGTGGCATGCTGTACAACCCCCCTCGCTTCCAGGAGTCATTAATTTTACGATCGTTGGGTAGGACGCTGTGTCATCGCTAATCGCTCCGCAGATGCACCGGGACAAAGTGTGTACCGCGTTGCCTGGTGCACGTGCACTCGCGCCGCCGAGATTCACTTCGACATTCACTTTTCCGTCAGCTAAAAAATTAACACGTCATTTTGTACGTTGATGCAGAGGTTCATGCAAAGTCTGTGAATTAATAACTAATCCAAAGTTCAGGGGCTTTTTTCTCAGTTTATAATTATGCAAAACTCGATAGAATGCATTCATCAGTAATTTCTTATGATTCATTAAATAATCGTTAACTATCCCATCAGTCATGATTTTTCATCGAGTTCTAGAATCTAGTAACATTGTATTAATATATCTCCACTCGAAATCCAGGAAATTTTCAGCTAAAAAATTATATGATGACACATTTCGCCTCATCGCGCACGAAAAAAATTCAATAGAAACACCTAGCGAATTCCTTAATTCTATTGGATTTCTATTGAACTTTCTATTCGGTTTTGGCCGATTCTACTGAAATGTTCAATAGAAAAAGGCAATAGAATTCAATTTTTCTATATAAGTTATTTTCTTCAGATATTTTCTATAGAATTTCCTCGGCTCAAATTTTCATTTTCTTTCCATCAAGAAAATCGAACGAAAAGACTTAGAAAATTTGAGCCGAGGAAATTCTACACAAAATATCTCAACAGAAAAAGTTATACAGAAAAATCGAATTCTACTGACTTTTCTATTGAACATTTTAATAGTGTGTCTATAGTACTTTTTCAATGAAATTTCATTTTTTGAATGATTACGATTGAGTGAATTTTGCGAATAACTGTTCTTCGTTTTTTTTTGTTAAATATGCCAATACACATGTTTACATCTTTCGGAATTTCTGGAAACGCAGATGGAGATGACGAGGTTGTCATACAATTTTTCTTTTCCAGATCTCACACGTGCAGAGACCCCAGTTGAATGACAAAATACCGAGGGCAGCACTTACCAGCGCCAACTCAAAAGGTGCAACAGAAATCTCTTGGTACACAGAGAGAAAAACAGTAAAGTTTTCAAACAAGGCTTGGGCCAAATAAATCGTTTGTCAAAAATGATCAAAAAAGGATTTTTTGTGCGAAGCGTGCGTCGAGATTGAAAATTGTTATTGCAAAAATAGAGTTAATCTTTTCAACAAAATTTTATCCGCTGTGCAAGCAAAAATTGTAATTTTCATCACGCTGTGACAAAAAGTGAACTTTTCGACACGCTCCGCGTGCCTAAAAGTCCACTTTCCGGCACAATGTGATGAAAAATATTGTTCGTAACTCGTGAAAAAATTTTTTTTGCACTCGTTACGAAATATACTATTCCCTCGCCTTCGGCTCGGGTGGTAATTCTGCACGTAGATACGACTTCTTTTTTTTCCATCCCTAGGTAGGGAATATACTATTTCATTGCTCAAGCCCAAAAAGGGCTCTTTTACCGACGGTAGTTAAGCATGAGAAGTAGGTCTTTTTACCGTTGAGCAGTATAAAAGTGAGAAATGCACTACTTAGGAGTGAAAAAGTGAGAATTGCACTCCTTAGGACTGAAAAACGTGTGGCGCCACCCCAGCGTTAATGTACCAAAATATAAAACTACATATAAAAACTGATAAATTCAGCCAGTGAATCCCCTTCATTATCTTCAAAATTGTTAAATTTTAAATTTGAAAATACACCTGAAAATTAAAATGAAAAATAAATTATTAAAAAATCTTAATTTTGATAATAATAATATTAGAAATATCATTTCATAGAAAATTTTTTATTGAAACTCTGAAATAAACTACAACGTAAACGCAAGAATAATACTCATAGTTTAAATAATAAAATCTAACAAAACAATCAGTTATGCCCATCTATCTCAACTAAGATCTCGAGATTCACTTATTTTCCTTATTTTCTTTATCAAATACTTTAAAATTTGAGCAATTGTAAAAATTGAGATTGATATTTGGATGGGAACGTAGAAGTTGATTCAACTGTAGATTTGGAGCAGGATCTGGTGAGACATCATGAAGTGGAATTGGTGAGATGTCGTTGATCACAGGTTGGGGAATACGATTACAGAGAGATGATGGTGATTTGTTGGCTTCTCTTGGAGTTGTTGTTCCCCGGCTGTGGCGGGGAAATTTAAATGCATTTGATTTTTTTTTTCTTTTGCAATTTGTTTTTTCTTCAGTGGGGGGGGCTCCGCCCCCCCCAACCCCCCCCGCCGGGGGCTGCGCCCCCTGGACCCCGCTCCACGCCCCCACCCCCAACCCCGACGGGCTTTTCGCAATAAAAAATAGTATACGCGCTTCGGCGTCGAGTACTGAATTCAACGCTGGTGGAGTACAGGCGCACGAGGCACGTGAGTCGGAGACGAGGCCGCCGAAGGCGGCCGAAAAATTTTCAGCACTTCTCCGCCTTAGCACGTAATATACTATTCTAGCACACCTTCTTCGTTATTCAATGCTCCCATACGTATTTTGCTCCCGACCAATACTTGTTTATACAAAGTGTTGGAGGTAAATTGAAAAAGGGAATTGCTATGGATCCATTCGAAAGCTTCCTACCAATGGAATCCCTCATACTAAACATGAAAGAAACGTGAAGTTGTTTTATATCGAAATATCTCGAAACTGCCTGACCGCTAATCCTTAATTCTGATTGGTCAATATGTGACACAAAGTTATTCACAAAAAAAAACACGCGGCATTTTCAAATTTTTCAGTGACATAATTTCAAATTCTTCAGTGCTAAATTGTTTTATGTCGCGCCGTGCAATAAGTCGAGTTTATCGCACGCTGCGCTTCGCGCAGCTTGCTCAAATCTCGACTTCTGCACGACTTGACATAAAATATTATAGAGCACTCGGTAATAAATTTCGTTTTCAACGAATGTGTGTACAGACCTCGCCTTCGGCTCGACCTGTAAACTACACATTCGTTGAAAACGAAATTTGTGCCCTTGTACTCTAATGTACTATTTTCACGTCATATATATATAATATATATATTTCACATGTATATATATCATCGGTGAAATTAATAAATTCTGTCCCTTTATGGAGACTGATTATTTTAAAAAATTGAAGATAATTAATTGAAAATGAAAAGTTCTTTATAGATTCTTTTACTCTACTTCGCTATTTACTTCAATCATTAGTCGAATTCTCTTTGATTCATTATCAATATTTATAAGGTATTCATGAGATAATGAAATTTAATGAATTCCATTTCTTTATTTCAACAAATGAATAGATCAGCGCGCGCGAGAGCGCGCGCATAGATCTTGTTGTTAGAAATAAAAAATTAAAATACAAATAACACATAAAATAACAGTCACATGCCTTCTGCAATATAGGAGCGGTCAACTGCTTGTTTTTCTTCCAGTGTACTTTCAATTCAAAAATCGTTCCGCAACACTTCGGCCACCTTCGTAACCCGTCGTATCCCCTCCCCACCGCATCGCCAACATCACCTTACTCCCCCCACATTTGCGTATAGCACAGCATAACCTCACACTCCAATAATACAAATATCGTCGCTTCTCTCCCCTCGAAATCCTCAAAAAACTAATTCATAAAAATTTAGCAAAATCCTTTGAACCTTCGCATCACCTCCAGCACAGCTCCTGTCTATAAAAAACGTCATCATTTTGTTATCGGTAAAAAAACAATGGGAAAACCATTGTTTATAACCTCAAATGGACTCCATATGCATTGAAACCTCTAGAAAGTTCGATAAATTGGATAGAAAAGTCAGTGAAGTTTGAAAAATGGGCGACGCGGATTCAGACGCAACACCTGGTACATCAGGTCCTGTGGAGGACGCCTGGTCCCTGAAAATCCCACCATTCAGACCAGAGGACAATCCGAATCGTCTCTTGGAGGAGAGTTCGTTCGCGACGCTCTTCCCCAAGTACCAGGAGAAGTACCTGAACGAGTGCTGGCCCCTGGTCCAGAAGGCCCTGCAAGAGCATGGAATAAAGGCTGAGCTCGACCTGATCGAGGGGAGCATGACAGTGAGGACGACGAGGAAGACCTGGGACCCCTACATAATCATAAAGGCCAGAGACATGATCAAGTTGATGTCTCGAAAGGTCCCCTTCGAACAGGCTGTTCGTGTGCTCAAGGACGATGTCAGTGCTGACATAATCAAGATCTCGTCCTTCGTCAGGAACAAGGAGAAGTTCATCAAGAGGAGACAGAGGTTGATTGGACCCAATGGGTGCACACTGAAGTCCATTGAACTACTCACAGGTTTGGCTTTATTCTAGAACTAGGGGCTACACCCCCATAATCCTGATTATTTTGACACTTGTGACCCTTAATCTGACCCTCGTGACCCTCATTATACTCTTTATTTTAACCCTCCATTTCTGACCCTTATGAAAGAAAAATTATGAAATTTTATCAACATTTCAACCCGTCGTTAACATTTTAAAAAACGTCAAAAGTGTCCATTTTACACCAACCTCCCCTACCGATTTTTCATCATCAGAAATCAATTTGAATTTTTATAATATATATAATTATAATATAGAAAAGATATATAGAGATCCTTATTTGGACCCTCAATCTGATGTTTCTGATTTTTAATCTAACCCTTGTGACCCTTATTTGGATCTTTAATCTGACCCTCATAACCCTCGTGATCCTTATTTTGACCTTGGTGACGCTTAGTTTTTGACCCTTGGGTTTTAACCCCCATGACCCTTATTTGGACCCTTACTCTGACCCTTGTAACCCTTAATCTGATCCTTGTGATCCTTACTCTGATCCTTAAAATTATCAAAAATACTCGTAATTTTCAACAATTGTCAATTTTTTAATTATTTCATCAGACTTTCTCCAAAAGTAAAATTTTTAATTTTTTTTAGATTTTTAAAATGCGTTTCAACAGTTCAATATCGACATTCAAATTCAAACCTGCAAAGTTTAAATAATAAAATCATTCTAAAATATCCCGTAAATTAGGGTTAAGGGGAGATGGAACCTCTTTGTCTACATCCAATCTTAGAATTGTTTTCTCCTACAATTATTAATTTCTATCTATGAAATTACTTCATCGACTCGATTATCGCATTGCTGAGTCAATGAAGTAGTTTAATGAATAAAAAATGATAATTGCAGGAGAAAACACAATTGTACAGATTCATATAAACGCAGGAGTTCCGTTTCCCCTTAAATGGGGCTCAAATGAAAGCTCTGATGTTCGAATACAAAAGTAGCAAAGTATTTCAAATTTAAAAGTATTCAAAAGTATTTCACTGGAGAATAAAAGCCAAAAGTACATGGATATCCCTAAATTCTACAAATTCATCTTTTTTCATTTTTTTATTCCCCAGGATGTTACGTTATGGTCCAGGGTCAGACAGTGGCTGCCCTAGGTCCATACAAGGGTCTCCAACAAGTCAGAAGGATCGCAGAGGACACCATGAAGAACATCCACCCAATTTACAACATCAAAGCATTAATGATAAAACGAGAATTAGCGAAAGATCCAAAACTGAAGAACCAGAACTGGGACAGATTCCTCCCCAAGTTCGCCACGAAGAACATCTCCAAGAGAAAGCAGCCCAAGGTCAAGAAGGAGAAGAAACCGTACACACCGTTCCCACCGCCACAGCAAGAGAGTAAACTGGATAAACAACTGGCTAGTGGTGAATATTTCCTGAGCAAGGAGCAGAAGAGGATGAAGCAGAAGAAGGAGCTGGATGCGAGACACGAGGAGGCCGAGAAGAAGAGGCAGGAGAAGAGGGCTGAGGCATTTGTGCCGCCTGAGGAGGAGACCAAAGTGGAGAGCAAAGGAAAGAAGAGGAAAAACGATGTTAACATTGAGGAAGTTAAGGAAAAAGTGCAGAAAGGACTCAAAAAGAAGAAAAAGAAGTCGTAATTTTTATTTGTTTAATGGTTAAGTTGTTTTAAATAAATTACCTGTGCACATAATTTGGTCAGTCAATCACAAAGGAATAACTCTTTGTTGAAAAGTTTAAACATTTAAAGTATTTTTCCTCATTATAAATCAATTTTTTTCTTTCGTTTTTGAAACTCTTGAAACATTCTCAGGCATTGATCATTTTACTTTCAACATTTTAAATGATTTAAATTATCGACAATTGACTAATTGTAGATTACAAGACATCGAACATTGTTTACAGTAACAAAATGGAAAACGTTTGATAAAATTCACAAGATGCAAAATTTACGAACCCCGTAATTGCCTTGATCAACATTTTGACTACTCCTTTCATGCAAGAATTGTGATATTTACTTAGTAGTTGACATAATACTAACTCTTGGGATGAAGTGCATAGGACGGATAGGATCAACTGGAATCATTCGAGGTAGAATTCTCCCTAAATGTAAGAAAAAAATTCCACGAAATTGGTCATGGTCACAGAAAAGTTTTATTCTCGATTCAATAAGCTCTTCCAACAATTTGCTGTTCCTTATTGCCTACCCTCATAAAAAGAGTGGTATTCAATTCCCATTGATTCCATTCTTTTCGTGAAGATGATGGATAAATTGTAACTCAATGCATTCATCTATCATCTATCTAGTCCCAAAGTTTTTTTCTTTCATAAAAAAAAATCACCAATGTCTTTAGAAATATATCACTGTGCAGCATGAGGATGCTATTCACTTAGTTAAGCTCAAAGGTCGCTGAGATCGACTGCATCAACTCGCTCTGCAATGCTCTCGTCATTTTCAGGGGGTTTTTCTAATTTTTTCGTCACTTCTCGGGGAAAATCGAGTTTTGCCCAGGAGCCAGGCTCTGCTTTCTTCATTTTTATTTCTACTTTAGTGGGCAGCATGCTGACAGAGCTGTTTGCAACATCGACAACCTGTTCAGAAGAAAAAATGGAAAATTTAAATTGATTAATTAATTAATTAATTAAGGGGAGATCGCACTGAAATTTCAAAATTGTAGTAGCTTTTATTTATCATGTTAATGAGTTTAATACTTCAGTTTCAATGTAAAAAAATGAGAAGAAAATAGTTTTGATTTTTTTTTTAATGTATGGAATCGTCAATGTCCTTTTAGGTTTTCGATTCGAAAAATCTGAACAAATTTCTACTTTAATGATTTATGGTGTAGTTAAATATTACTAATTTTTCGAATTTATCATCTTAGCCAATTTTGAGAAAAACATTTAAAAAACTCAAAAAATACAAATTTTCAAAAGTGCTCATTTAGTTATGTTTGTGTACATATTGTGCATGTGTGAACCAAAATATGAATCAATCAGTTGAGAATTGCGTCATAAGGACACTTGAAGATTCTAATCCTCTAAAATCTTTTTCTGATCAATAAAAAAAAAAACCTAATTTTTAAATAGTTTTTTCACATCAAAACTGAACTAATAAACTCGTCACGATAGATGACGGCACCTGTGATTTCTAAATTTCAGTGCGGGCTCACTTTAAATAAAATAAATTGGTTGTTAAGTTGATGAAAACAACATATCATAATTTAAATGGTGGACAACAAATTAATTAATTAATAATTAGGAATTTCTTACCCCTCTAAGCTCCACATCAAGATTATAATCCGAATTTTCTTCAGGGAAAAATAAACTAGCAGTTAGTCGAATTGGATTCAGCTTAACTGACGACTTATTTGGATTGTACTTCTTGGCGAAAATTGATACTACGACGTGGGATCCTGTCTGGTGCCAGTCCATTCGACATTCAATTTGTTTACCCTCGTTCTGGAAGTATAACCAAAAAATCAAGATGAATTTGAAGGTAGAAATGAATGAAGTAGAATAAACTTTCAAAATAGTAAATATTTTCTAAGTTGATAGGAATAAATGTGAAAGAATTGTTTCATAAGAAAAAAAAACAACTGAAATATCACGTTTCAAATTAAATGAAATTTTCAAACGTTTTTCAAAATGAATTCTAAGATATAAAAGCACTAAAAAATAACATTGTTAACTATGAATTTATCTCTTGAACAATTTATTTATTTTAATGAATAGAAAGTAGAGAAATTTTGTTTTTAACAATAAAGATTCCTATTCTTAATCGTTTTGCGAATATTAAAAAAACTAAATTAACTACTTCCACACGAGACTTGAATCCAATTTCTTCATGTATTTCAGATAAAATAAAGTCCAATTTCGAAAAAATCCCGTTAATCATTTTTATTCTACTTCAAAATCGAAAATAGAATTCCTTTAAAATACAATTTCTGATTTAATAAATATTTCGACAATCTATTTCATTTATGTTTGATACCTCATATGGACGCACTGTGTTGAATTTCATTTTTTAAATGGTTTTCTCTAAAAAATGTTGGAAAACTAAATATATTATATATTGCGCTTAAAAAATACTCTCGGTCTATTCTATAAACTCCGAAGAAGATTTCTCCCAAAAACAATGCTCAAATTTCGTTTTATCCATTCATGAAATTCCCCCTTTCCCTCTAATACACACCTTAGCAATCCAGACATGACTCCCCTGAGTGCACCCAGGTTGTGCCAGAAACACCGAGAAATCGGTCGTCCTCTTCTGGCAACAAGACCAGAACTTCAGTCCCTCATGGAAGATCGCGACCCCAGGATGATGAACACAAGCTTCGTCGTCAGACTCAGGGCCCCTGTAACTAGCCTTGCACGCCTTATTCTTGCAGCTCTCCCCCACCTGCACCCTCTTATGCTCCTGCGACGAAGATTCATTGGCAGTGAGCCCTTTTATCTGATCGAGGAGAGTCGGCGAGACTGTCGGCGTCAATGTCACTTGGGGTGCGTCGAAGGCCGGCCTCTCCAACGTGGGATGATTATTCACTGGTGGACGGTACTCAATGACCTCGTCGGCCTTCGACTTGTCGACTTTCTGCTTCTCAGGCTCGGGGGGTTTATCATTCGAATGGAAGGATTTCGTGCATCCTCTGATGTTCAGGAATTCGGTGAAGTCTGTGCACTTTTTGTTGCAGCAGGACCAACCCTTGTAGGCGTCGTGGAATACGGGGGTTCCAGGGTGGTGGACGCACGCATCTAGCGGATAGTAATGGTCATTATTTGTTTTCGATCCAATTCTCGTTGCTCGCAATGAAAAACAAATGGGAAATTTCTCTTGTTTTGCATCAATCGAGTTATTTTCGATAATAAATTAGCAATATGCTTTCGAATGGTTACTTTGCCTATAATTTCCTTCTATCGTGTATAATTCAGTAGCGAAGTGGTAAAACGGTATAAGTCAATTTTGACTATTGACCAGTTTTCAATAAATATCTCGGAATCTAAGGGAGATGGCAAAATTGTTGTTATAACCTTTTTTGTAGAGCCGATTGAGAGCTATAACAAATGTAATTACGAAAATTTCGGTATCTCCCTTAGATTCGGAAATATTCCTCAAAAACTCAACTGGGAGATAAGTCGACTTAAACCAATTTACCACTTCGCTACTGAATTCCTTGTCCCTTTCAGTTTAGTAGATTGAATAAGATTTTTGAAAACTAATTTGTAAGATTTTCAACTTAGTTGAATGTTATTATCATGATTATTCTCATTATTCCTTTCTTCTATACAGCCGATTGTCTTTTTTACAGTTCTATCTGTTCCCTCAGCCCTGCGATAAAATGTTAATAGAAGAATTTTATTTACACAAACTTAAATGAAGTTGAAATATCACATTTGGAAAAAAAGATTCAATTCCATCCATTCATTAGCGAACAATTGAAGAAAAACTGTGTTACATACGTACACACATGCATACACACGTACGGACAAGGTCTAAAAAATGCATTTTCGGACTTTCTCGATCATATTGTGTCGATATAACATAAAAAATCCAACTCGGAAGCAAAAATGGACAAACTAATGAATAGAGTCTATTCAAATTTCATAAAAAAAGTCTGACACCTCCTGACACTCCAAAAAAATTGATGTCTCAGAACCGATATTAACAATACTTCAAAGATCAAAAAGGCAAATTTTTGTTTTATGCAATAGAAAAAAAAAACCATTCAAAATTTATAGAAAAAACGAGGAGTATCTTAAACCCAATGGAAACCAAAATCCAACTCCCAAATCCATAAAAAATTATTTTCTGTCCAATTCTCGTTGTTCCCAACAAGAAAAAATCAACAAACCAGTGAATAGAGTCTATATAAATTTTATTTTTCAAAAAGTCTGCGGTTACCTCTCGTCACTCCAAAAAAATTCACAACCCCTGAGAACTAGTACTGAGAAGTGGTTCGGAGATAAAAAGGGCAAATTTTGGCGTTATCCAATATTAGAAAACTTGAAGAGTATCTTAAACCCAATGCAAACAAAAAATCCTACTCCTCAATCCCTAAAAACTGATTTTCTCCATAAACTCACCCTCTTTATTGTCACTCGGACCGAACTTCTGTCCGCATCCTCGGTTGTAACAATTAACCAACACCTTTTCTTCCGACATTTCAACCTGATCTGTCCACACAACGATCTTCTCTCTTTCAAAACTCAATTATATCTGCTCCAAACCTCTCTGTCTTCCACCTAATTTTGTTTATTTATTTCTGGAAATTTCTGGTATATCCACCCGGTAGGTTATGTACAAGTGCACGCACACGTTTCCGTCAAGTGCTGCCGCCTGTCCCTCAACGTCGCAACTACTCCATCAAACAAGTGGATTGGCGAGATCCGATCAATTAGCCCCTCATGTATAGATATGCCAAATTTTTATTTTTTTCCTCATTGAAGTAGTTTTGAAGAAAATTGCGAGCTAATAAAAAACATTTGCTAGTTAGTACTTTTTTTAAAATAAATTTTTGAAACATCACCCCTGAAAAAAAGACGTTATCACCCCTATTTCATTATTTCCAAAAAATTTTATCACCCATCGGTAGCATATTGTTTGAAGATTTTTGCGAGTTAAGAAAAAATCATCAATGCACTCCTATTATTGTGTAAATTAACAATTCCAATTTCAACTGAAAACCAGAGTTGATGACCAGAGTTTGTAACAGAGATGTCAGACAAGATATGAATGTTTTTTTGGGCTCAAATGAAAGAGCGGGTCGAAAAATGACGTGCTAGAGTCTCTAAACATGACAAATGTCTCTAAAGATGATATCTGTTTTCAATTGAAAAGCAGAGTTGTGACATCATTGTCTAGGAGGACAATGGGGTCTAGGAGTATGTATAGAACATTGGGGTCTAGGAGTCTCCCCTGGTTCAAAACCATCTTTAGAGGTCCTAGCACGCCATTTCTCGACCCGCTCTTTCGTTTGAGCCCAAAAAAACATTCATATCTTGTCTGACATCTTTGCTACGAACTCGGGTCTTCAACTCGGGTTTTCAATTGAAGGCCCGAGTTGTAGATCCGAGGTTGTAGCAGCATGTCAGATAAGATATGAATGTTTTTTTGGGCTCAAACGAAAGAGCAGGTCGAGAAATGCGTGCTGACTCTCTAAAC